TTTGTTTTTACTTGTTATGACTATTTTCTTCCCGAAAATGTAACCAGGAGGGCAGATAATTAGTCTGCTTTTTTCATTCCTTCTGAATTAGAAAAAGGTGCTGGTCATAGTAGGTGCTCAAGAAGTATTGATTGGAACTTGAATGAGCAAAGAATCCAAGTCAATATCTCAAACTCATTTCTGCATGCCATTTTGTGTTTACCATGGTAGGTGCTCAGTTTTCTGTTAAATGACATCATTTGAATCCCACAGACTGTGCATCATAAAATGTAGGATGGGGCAAAGTTTAAGTACTATGTAGCTTCTGGCTTTTACACATCAGCTCATTCAATAATGTTTTGAAAGATGAGCTATAAAGAGGGAGCACTAGAGATGGTGTAAGTTAAGTGAAATATTGATATAGGGAGAGAGTGCTTCAATTTAAAAATGTTTCATTGGGCTTCGTTTCCAGTAACACTGCATAGTGTTTCACAATATAAAATATCCATAAGGCCTCTTTTTTCATAGGAAAAGAAAGAAAACTGTCCCCTCCTGCTTGATTAAAAACTCAGTACAGCAAAACACTGAAGGGTTTTCTAATCATCAAAGAAAGATTAAATGATGCCCAGTGTCCTTTTGGTGTTAATATCTTCTAACTTGACTCTGAAAAAGCAGAATCTCTTTTAATAGAAAGTAAAATGACTCTTTGGTCATCCTTATCTCTCTGAAATAGAGCGTCATAGTCTATTTTCACAAACCATCCTTTGGTTTTAGATAAGGATAGTTAGAATACTGAGACCAGTTAGCATTCTTAGAAAAATTTGTAATTTTTTTTCCTTTAAATTTAGTGGACTAAAAAAATTGCTTAGAAAGTTACTTTTAATAATGACAATTTTAGTTTTGCATTAGTAATTGTCAAGGCTCTTAAGTGATGAAAACCAGGATACAACTTGAATTCCTTTTTTTGGTATTTTTTTTCTTTCTTGCATTATGCAACTTGAATTTTCTTAAGCCCCCGAGTGGTACTTGACATTTAGAGGTACAGATATGTCAGTGGGGCACTGGCCTGAGAAGCCACTGGAGGTGTAGGTATCTTTCCATCTTGCATGTTCCCTCCCTGCCTGCCTTATTTTTCCCTAGTGTGGCTAGCTTTGGGGTAAGGAGGTGGTGATGTGAGGAGTCAGTAGTCATCAGCAGCTCAGAACACAAGTCATTCTGGCTTAGGGATCAGTGAGAAGAAGAGCTTTACCTGCCCTGTGATTAGCCCAGGCATGAGCCTGTGTCTCATCTTTTGGGGCAAGAAGACAGAGTGTGCTTTAAGAAGACAGAGAAAGGAAAAGAGGATAGTGCTTGGCTGCTCCGAGTACGCAGTTGAAACCTGCCTCTGCTGGACACAATACACCTCTCCCTTTTATGGTCACCCATCCCCAGTCAGAGGCCGCCCAATCCTATGCAGCCACTGCTTCCACAGGCATTTAGTGGCGGTGGGGCTCTCGATGTCCTAGGCGATCCTTGGGGTGATGTGATTCCTCTTCATCAAGCTCAATTGCAGTGCCACATGATTCTTAGCAGCCTATAGGGCAAACGATGATTCTAACCAGCCCTGGCACAATCAATATAAATTTGAAGCAAAAACAGCTTTATCAAAATTAAAGTTGCCATTTAGGGAAGAGGAACAGGGTTAGTCCCTGACTGAGAGCATATATCATGCCCTGCTGTCAGTGCTCACAAACCTCACTTTGCTGGCCATGGATTTTTTTGGTCAGCCCATTGGCTGGCTGGGTCCAGCCCACCAGCAGGGTCTTCCTTGTCCTCTCTGGTACTGTTGGGGACACTGGTGAGAACACAGTGCTGTGGCTATCATGACTGAACAGACACCTCATGGTTGTGTGAAAGTATGAGCTTGGAGGTGATTTTGTCATACTTGGTTTATTTATTTATTTATTTATTTTTGGTAGTCATTGTTTTGTTGTTGTTGTTACTGTTTCAGCTTGTTTTGTTTTAAGCAATAAAATTCCCTAAAACCTTTATTTGTTGCTTGTCAGTTTCACCACAGGGGAATTAGTGTCTGATGGCTAGAATTCTTTTCTGGGTCTCTATCTTTGTATCTAACTCTGCCCTCGAAGTTCTACTAACAAGTCTCAGGACTCTGCTCATTCCCTAAATCCTAAGATTAACAAGTTTTTTTATTTTATTATTATTTATTTTTTACTTGACCTCTGTCTTGACGCCACTGAAGACAACAGGAATCTATCGGCTGCCCCCGGGCATCATCCTGGCTGATTTTTCCTTTCAAATGGGTCCTGAATATCTTTTTCTTTCTTTAAATGCAAGGGATACCTAGGTCTGGTTCTAGAAGACCTGGTGTCCCCTCTCATATTCCTCCCGTCCCCTTGTCCTAACTGGAGAGTGGGACAGAGCGTCCCTGAGTGCTCAGATCACCAGGAAAAGGCAGAAAGACCACCTATTTCTGCATATTTATGCTGGTGACCCTTTTCTACATGCAAATGAAGCATGGAATATTACCTTCCATGTCTCAGAGTCCCTAGAGAAAAGGTCATGGAACATACATGCTTACATTTTCCTCCCAAGTTCTCAGGAACGGCAGGCAGCCTCGCAATTCACGAAGCTGAGTCCTGAACTCAACCCGGCTTCCTGGCCCTCCTCTGTCCGTCCTCTGCTTATTTTCTCTCCTCTGGGTCCTCCCTCCAAGAAATCCATCCACATCTGCTGTTTCCTCGGGCCTCTGTGTTTCCAGTCACTGTTCTACCTTTATCTGACTAACACTCTGCAATTTTCTCAGAGACTCAGGTACAGACCCTCGGATCTACTACTTCCTTCTCAATCCCTTCTCCTGCTGACTGGTCCTGTGTACTTGACATGCATTTTGACATCACTGAGACCAGCATCTGCATCAGCCCTTGTTAGGTCAAGAAAACAAGCGGATAGGAAAAGAGAGATGGAAGATGGGCGGTTGGTTCAACAGCAACATGGGTTTATTCCAAGGTGGAGAGCCTGCAGAGGGGACTTCAGAAAACTGAAGTCCACTACCACTTACAGGCTAGGGCAGTTACAGGGCTTGGGGGGATTTTTGTGGTTAACTTGCTAGGACTTAACTCAGGCTTGTGGTTAAGTATGTTGAGAGGAAGTCTTGTGGCTAGGCTAGGTGCTAGACAGGATGCGTTGCAGCATAGACTGATAATTTTTCATCCCAGGGCAGTTAGTAAAGTGGCAGGGGTCTCCAAGGCAGCATTACCAGAGCTAATAGTCCTAATCACTCCCCACTCCAACTCTGATAATAATTTGCCAGGAGTTCTCAGCAATTGTTTATTTTTTTATTCTTTTCTAACCCATGACATTCATTTCTGCTTAACCTTAAAACGGCGAGCTGATGAAGCAACCCCTGCTCCTAAGCCTCTAGTGACCCCTTTCATTCATTCATTCATTCACTCATTCATTCATTCCTTGCTGTGTGGTGATTGTAAGATAAAGTGATAGGTAGAGCAGAGGAGGTGCTGCTTTCACGAAGCTTACCATCTATCAGGAGAGAAGAGCTAGCCTTCTCTCCAACGAGCTCACAGCTCCTTCCTCTCAACGATGAACGCGTGGGTCTGACTTTTGCAGCATCTGTTTTTCCTCCACATACATAAAAAAGCTGTCTGTGGTGAGAGCATGTGAACTTGTAGTGGACTCCATCATGAGACTATGTAACTCTGAGCTTGGCGCAAACCCTGTGTCTCAATTCCACTCTTTACCTGGTAATAATAAAAAATAATTCCTGATGTGTATTGATACTCACATTGGGCCAGTAGGACCTAGTGTTAACAGCACAGACTCTCAGCCACACAGCCTGGCTCTGCGTCCTGGCTCTGCTTTGTGTTCACTGTGTGACCTTTATGTCTAAGGGCCTCAGTGTCTTCATCTGTAAGATGAGAGTGTAACATGGGAATGACTGAATACGTTGCTAAACAGCCTTGAAACAGTGCCTAGCACACCATCAGAGCTTTGTAAGTCTTAGTAGTTTCCAATGCCGCTTTTCTAAATAAGCCATACTATTACTCATATTTTACCAATCAGAAACCTCAGTACCTTGCCCAGGGCCACATGTAGGTGGCAGAGTCAAGGTTCTAACACAGACATTGTGACTTCAGAGCAGGTACTAGTAACTACCACTTTGCACAGCGTCCAATATAGGATTTCTATAAGACTATAGCTAAATAACAATGTTTAATAAAACACAGAGCTATAATACACCATGCATATATAAGGTGTTATTATGCATGCTATAATAAGTAATGATTGAGGGAGACACTATCTTTTTCTTTTCCATAGCTTGAAACTTCTTAGCTATGACAGTAATTACACTAATAAATATTTCTATGGCATTGTTTTTTGTTTGTTTGTTTTTTGATTTTTTTGAGTTGAAGTCTCACTCCGTCACCCAGGCTAGAGTGCAGTGGCAGGCTCACAGTCACTGCAGCCTTGACCTGCTGGGCTCAGGCGATTCTTCTGCTTCAGCCTTCCAAGTAGCTGGAACTACAGACACGTGCCACCACGCCCAGCTAATTTTTTCATTTATTGTAGAGATGGGGTCTCACCCAGTTGCCCAGGCTGGTCTCAAACCTCTGGGTTCAGGCAATGGCATTGTATGATTTAGACAAACCTTCCCCATACACAAATTCATGTAATTCCCACTGCTGCTTTTGGAAGATGACAAGGTTCTTATCAGTATCTCCATCTTAAAAATGAGGATACTAAAGTTCAGGGAAGTCAAGTCACTTGCTGAAGTGTTCACCGACAGTGAATGAACAAGCCTCTTACTAGAATCCAAGGTCCCGCATGTAGTACTGAGTCTCACTGGAATGCCCTGCTGCTTTCTAAGGATCTGTTTTTCAACAGATTGAAAATGAGTTGTATCTTACAGTTTACCATCACAAATGTGTGTGTGTAAATATGAATATATCTTTGTGTACAGCAGCATAACTACTTGAACTTATATCGGTTCCTCCTTCTTTTTACAGATTCTGATTGCTAGCATCATGTGCAGCTACAACAAAAATGACTGGATGGAACTCTCCCACATGGCTGAGGTAATGGTTTCTTTAGTATATATTTATTTTATTTCTTCTCTCCTATTTTTATTAGTTTTAAATAAAGAGCTGCCATCAAAAATAAGACAGTAGAAGTAAAATTGAATTGAAAATGTAACTTAAAACATTTCTATTATAATTTGTTTACCGTGTTTTCATTAAAATGATGGAAAGGAAAATTTAAAAGGAATTTATTCTATAAAAGCGATCTCTTGGATTTCACACACTACTTCAAACTCCTTTATTCTCTGAATACATACACTCTTTATTTGCATATTAAGCAAGCTGTATATTATGATGGATGCCATGATAAAATTTAATTCTACCTTTGAGAGTCTAACTTGATCTTACCTTGCCTTTAGGCAAACTGGTTTGACAGTAAGAGAAGAAATTTTGAATATAAAACTCTTGAATATTTAAAGTATAAAAGGTTCATTTAATGCTATTCTAGTCTGAATACAAACATGCATAAAATAGCAGGACAGAATGCTCCTGAATGGAACACTAGTCAGCAGGTTTTCTATAATATAAATTGAATCTTGCACAAATGCAAACAACTAACCATGTGCCTCAAATTTGTATTTCAAATAGAAAAATACATACTTAAAATTATACACTTATGTCCATCATGCTGTCATGGAAAATGGTCTAGACAGTCTTAGCTGTGATTTTTTGAAAACCTCTCAGTAATATAGAAGACTGAGTCCTAACAATACTTATGAACTAATTGACTCCACATTATGCAAAGTTATGAAGCTCTCTATGGTGTTCGGAAGTGTTGATTGTACATTTTATTTGGATATTCTAAAAACTGTAAGGGGAAAAATTACTTCTGGGACTTAGGGAGGTGAAATTAAACATGATCAGTAATTGGCCTTGTGATCTTCTGAGCTGGGTCCATTTTATACATGTATTTACCTAATTGACCATGAAATCTTCCACAGAGCCTGTGCCTGGCATGAGCTTTGCCAATTTCAAGCTGACTGTGATGAATGGCTTTATCACGCTGCCTGCTTTTCTGCTTTTCTATAAGAATAAAATGCTCAAAAATTTTTAAACTACTGCACGTTAATTTTTAAATAACTAAACCCTAAAAATTACTTTTAAAAAGTCAAATGCTTTTAAGTATAAACGGACTAAATTAAAGATATTTTTCACATTTCATATTTTTCTTTAACTGCAGTTTCACTTAATATCACCTTCAAATTGCTCTATAGCAAAAATAAAAACATGAAAAAAGGTGAAAAAAAGAAAAGGAAATAAGCAGGGGTGAGGGGAAAGTATGCCTTTCATTCAGTCAAAACAGTCTGTAAAATCTCTCCCCAGGAAAGCAATCTACATATTAAGAAGTCCAAGCTGTAGATAATGTCAATTAAAATATAAGGCCAGACTCAGTGGCTCATGCCTTTAATCCCAGCACTTTGGGAGTCTGAGGGGGGAGGATCACTCCAACCCAAGAGTTTGAGACCAGCCTGGGCAGTGGAGCAAGACCTCATCTCTACCAAAAAATGAAAAATAAAATAAAAAAGCTGGGCACAGGAGTACACCTTCATAGTGCCTGCCTCTCTGGAGGCTGGGGTAAAAGGATCACCTGAGCTCAAGAGGTCAAGGCTGGGGTGAGCCAAAATTGTGCCACAGCACTCCAGTCTGGGCAATGGAGTGAGACTCCAACTCAAAAAGAAAAATGCCAATAAATAGATAAACACACTTTTACCCTAACTTTAGGCCAGCCCAGGGATATCACGTGAAAGAAATATCCCTAGGCCTTCACAGCTTCCGGAGGGCAGCTTTAGGTAGCATGACTCCATCACAGCTCATGGGTGGACGTTTTATAGAATCGCTATTTGATGTTGATTTAGGAAGACGTGTTTCAAAACAGATTTTCTTACCGTGGAAGAAACCACATTGAAACAAACCAACAATAACAAAAGCATACTCAAGCCAGTTTCCACACCATCTAAAATGCACATCTCTTTAGGGTTGGTGATATCAGAATCCAAGAGATCAGAGACAAGTTTAGCTAATGACTTGATGTGATGATGTCTACTATACCTTACGCTTATGAGGTTTCTTTCCTTATGGTAGATGGATTCTAAAGACTGAGAATCTGTTAGAATTAAAATTTCTTCAAAGAAGGGCTATTATTTTTTGTTTCCCCAGAACCTATCATATTACTTTGCTATTTTGAATAAACTTTAGGATCACATGGGTAGTTTAAATAAAAATAAACCTAGGCATATTTTTAAAATAGAGTAGATTCAGTCAACTAAATACTGTTTGCAAAAGCTAATGTGTGTCTGGTCTATCTTCTTCACATACACATATTCTTGAGAAAGATTTATTTTTTCCTGGAAATAAAACTATACTGCACCAAACCTTCCTTTTAAACAATAGAATATGAATGCTTATAATGTCTTCTTACGCATTCTTCAACATGGATTGAATTTGTCATGTTTTTTGAGCACAGTTAGGGTTAGGGTTAGGGTTAGGATTGGGGCTAGGGTTAGGATAAGGTTTGGGTTAGGTTTAGGTTAGGGTTCAGGTTAGTGTAAAGGTTAGTGTTAGGGCTAGGACTAGGGCTAGCGCCATGGTTAGGGTTGTGGTTAAGATTAGCTTAAATTAGCCGGGCTCGGTGGCTCAGCCTGTAATCCCGTGCCTTGGGAGGCTGAGGTGAGTGGATTGCCTGAGCCCGCAGGTTCAAGACCTGCCTGGGCAAGTTTGGGAGACCTCATATCCACAATAAATCAAAAAAATCAGCGGGGTGTGGTAGCGCATGCTTGTAATTCCAGCTACTCGGAAGGCTGTGGTAGAAGCATTGCTGGAGCCCAGCAGGTCGAGGCTGTGGTGACCGGGAGTCGCCACTGCACTCCAGTCTGGGCAACAGAGTGAGACTCGAACTCAAAAAAAAAAAAAAAAAAAAATAGGTTAGCTTAAATCTAAGGCTAGTGCTACTTTAGTTTCAGTGTTAAGGTTTAGGGTTAAGGTTAGTTCTATGCATGTCATCTCCTCAAAAGCTTTTGCTGCCTTTTTCAAATCAGCAGCATTTTTAGGCTCTGCTCAATTTTTTTTTTATCTGAGTATTTTATCACAGGCTGTCCTCCTTTGTACTCTTAACCTTTTCCTTTTACCTTTAAAGGAAGATTTATGAAGCACTTACTAGGTATAAAGTCCCCTGGCCAGCCAAAACAAAGTTGAGTAAGATAGCCATCAAATGTGTGCCCAATTGAGCCATTACTGAGGCACACAATATTAGATCTTAAATCCATTTCTTTCATAATGTGTATTTGCTTAGACAACAGAGCCTGAGTTTGAAAAAGCCTTATTGAAGGATACAACCTCAGAACAGTAAGAGTGACGAAAAAAGGAAAATGAGAAGGGAGAAGGGAAAAATCAGGTGTGGTATATTCTAGAGCTGGCTACCACTTCACAAGTACATGACTTCCATGACTCAGTCATTTGGGTAGAATGTGCGACCATCCTGCTTCCCAACAGTTGTGAAGATAAGGAGGGTAAGAATCACTTCTCCTGGCTCCTGCATCTCTGTGGGCTCGTGTCACCCCAAAGGGTTCTACTTTCCTCTGTACTTTTGGTTGCTTTCCCAGCCCTCTCTGGGCAGCTGTCAGGGAAGCCAGATCCCACATCATGTGGGGCAATGCCTCACCTAACCCAAACCCCTGAGGTGTAGGGAAAGGCTCCTGGAGTGCTTATTTGGATGCTTGGACAGGGACAGCGGCAGTGGCGATACAGTCTGCCTCCATCTGGAGGAAGTCCGTGAAAACTGATGATTACTCTAGAAGATATGAGGACAGCAGTGGGTGGGGACTCCCTTTGAGCTAGTGGCCAAAGCCTGAGTGATCAGTAAGGACACCAAGTTTGAGAAAGCATAAAACTGGGTGTGGCCCACTTGGCATCATTGCCACAATAACCCACATGACCGCCAGGAAGAAGCTCCACTGATCTTGCTTTCAGTCAACCCAGATGGTCTCCATCTCTCCCAAGCTGAGAACTCTTGATGTGACCTTTGCATGCAATGTGGTTGGCCCCGCCCCCTCCGCAGTGTCCTGGTGGGTTTCTTCTCTCCATTCCAGCCCCTCTCCCTCCTGATATTTCAATGCGCTCTGCTCCTCACTCAGAGCCTCTGCTTCCGTGGCCTAGAATGTTCTCTCTTCCTCCAGAACTGTTCTTATCCTGACCCTGAGCCCTCTGGGAGGCAGGTTAGAGCTCCTTGTCCTGCGCTCTGAGATCCTGCCCTCAGAGGCCCACTTGCCTGATGGTGGAGCTTCTGGGCATTCACTTGCACTGACCATGTCCAAATCTTTGTGCCAAACGTTGTGTTTACAATCTTTAATTGTTGTTTTTCTTAGAGGACTTTCCAAGTTATTTAAGCACCAGACTCCCTTAAATCTAGATCTACCTCTGTCTGTGCTTTCCTTCTTCAGCATTTTTTTTTTTTTTTTTTTTGAGTTGGAGTTTCACTCCATCGCCTAGACTAGAGTGCAGTGGCCGCTCCCGGCCACCGCAGCCTCGATCCACTGGGTTCCGGCGATCCTTCCGCCTCAGCCTTCCAAGTAGCCGGAATTACAGGCGCGCTACCACGCCCGGCTGATTTTTGATTTATTGTAGAGATAAAGTCTTGCTGCCTAGGCGAGTCTCAAACCCGCCATCTCAGGCAATCCACTCACCTCAGCCTCCCGAAGGCGCGGGATTACAGGCTGAGTCACCGAGCCTGGCTTCTTCTGCAGCATTTGATGAAATGACGAGCATCAGTGGTGTCACTGATCCTTGCAAACAGCTGCTCTTCCCTGTATATCATGGAAACAATTCCATGAGATTGGAGACCTCCATCTGATACACGGTCTATCCCCAGTTCCAAGCACAAGGCTCTGCCCACCAACACATGTTTGTTGAATGAAGTGAAGAAGAACTACAGAGTTCAAGTATTCACACACACACACACACACACACACACACATACACACAAAGCCTTTACAGAGCAAAGGGGAAGGGGGCCCTTTATTTGGCACCTATGACCTTGAGGTGATCTGAAACTGAAGGACTTAAGTCAAGCACCTGATGAGCGAAGAATTCCCCAGGTTCTGACCATCATCCGAGGGAGGAGACAAGGAAAGTCCCATGGGGAAGCACAGGTCCCAAAGTCAGGTGGCCATACTGCTCCTAGCAGAGTCAACAGTGAACACTCACAAGCCAGGTTCTTTTGTTGTTGTTATTGTTGTTGTTGTGTTTTGAGTTGGAGTCTTACTCCTTCGCCCAGGTTGGAGTGCAGTAGCACTCACACTCACAGTCACCCCAGCGTCGACCTACTGGGCTCTGGCGATCCTTCCACCTCAGTCTTCCGAGTAGCCGGCACTACAGACGAGCGCTACCACGCCCATCTATTTTTTATTTATTTATTTATTTTTAATACACTTTTATTATTTTATTTTATTTTAGTTTTTAAGTCAATATTTTTAATTATTCTATTGTGGGGTACAGGTAAGGGTTAGGTATACAAATATGCTTCATTCAGGCACCCTTGTTGATAAGAGGTGTCTCCCCGTCCCCAGACAGATGTTTACTACCATTAGTCCCATCTCCCTTCCCCTCCCCCCTATTTTTTATTTTATTATAGAGATGAGTTCTCGTCAAGTTGCCTGGGCTGGTCTGGAACCCACAGGCTCAGGCAATCCACTTGCCTGGGCCTCCCAAAGTGCTGGGATTACAGGCTGAGCCACCGAGCCCAGCCACAAACCAGGTACCCAGCATTTTTTTCCTGAATCTGGCAGCAGGAAATTAAGTAGGAATGAGAGTTAGGCAATCTCAAATAGGATAGGGCAAGAAGCAAACAGAGGCACACTTAGGCAATGTGTAGGACTGGTGGATGTGAGTCCCTGGAGAGGTACAGTAAACAGGCCATAATAGAGTCAGAGAAGATGAACCCAGTTGGAGATGACAGTAGCAGACTTTATGTCCAGCAGGACCCAAGCCAGTGCAGTGCTTCACCTGTCCCAGGTCTAGCTCAGAGAGGTTCAAGAGCCCAGAGAACTTGCACCACAGTTTTGAATAGTTAAGACTGGATGGTAGTGTTGATACCTAGAAAGTCAACATCTGACCTCGTGTAGCTATGAACAGAAGAAATTACGAGAGCATCCAGGAAGTATCCCTCTCATTCCCGCCACGGTACGCTGTCCTCAGCCTGCATGAGGTCTGTGTCCTCTGCCATCCCCATACCTTGCCTTTCCTTCCCCTCAGACTCTGGCACAGCACCTCAAAGCTCCCCAGGTGGATGTCCCTGCTCTGCCCTGCGGGACACTGACACCCAGCTCTGGTCCCCTGTAGCTCCTCTTCTGATGCTCATGGTTACGCCCCTTGCTTTGCCCCATCCAGTGACTCTAGAAGTGTGTGTTCAGGAAGGTGAGGAAGAACGAGGAAGAAGTCGGGAAGGAAGGGAAGAGAATGGGGAGAGCAGGGAGATCTGGGAGCCTGATTCTTCTGTATGGATTGTGCAAGGGCTTATGGTTTTACCATCCTGGTGTTTCTGGGTGTTTCTATAACATAATTCAGATGATTTTCAAGAACTACACCACTGCCACTATTTCAAGAATTCCTGTCATTCTCTTTTCCTTTCCCCCTTGAGGTTTAGATAATGTAGGACAAGGTGAGTTGTCTCAAATTTTCTCCAGGTCAAGGCAGAGGAAGGAAGCCAGAGGTTCTAGTTGGATAAGCAGATAATTTGATAGATAGAGAGATAAACTGATTGATTGATAGAGAGTATTTGCTTACACTTTTATAGTATCTACTGTATTCCAGGAATTGTTCCAAGGAATTTACTTTTATCAAATTTATTTATACCTTGCAACATCCCGAGTTAGTTTCATTGTTTTTCAATTTTTAATTTCTTATTTTATTTTATAGAATGGGTGAATAATCTGGGCAATCAAGGAAACTAGAAACAGCATATTTTTAATATAACTGCCATTGCTAGTTTATTTTATAATCATTTAGGTGAAGTAGGATATAAACTCTGGAATACGTGACTAAACTAAAAAGCTTGTGACTAACAAGAATCAGAATGCATGCCCAGTTTCAGTTAATTTAACATTTCATGCTAATTCAGCAATTAAGGCTTTTTGGATGGCTACAGTTGCTTGGAAGTGGAATTAACTGCCTTTTAAGGAGGTGTGCACCCTGTGATGGGTGTTTTCAAGCAGAGGCCACGTTAATGGCCTCTTTTCTTGGTGTCACCTTGAGTATCACCGGCTCCATTCCTGAGGCCTAGCTGCTCATTTCAAAGGCCTTTCCAGGTGTCTTTAGTGGATGGTGTTTGTCAATGCATATACTATTGGGGAAATCATAATAATTAGTCACTGAAAAGACTTTATATTGGACAGGTGACTTTAAAAGTTTTTAAGTTTTACTTCAAGCTTGGAAGAAGTTATACTATAATAACTCCATCCATAGAATAAATGTTTTCAGATACATTATAACAGTGAATCAGAATGGAGGTTCTGGACTCCAAGCAATTGTGTTTGAGATGCTTCTCCCAATTATGAGCTGTAGGGTGCTGAACTCTTTATGACTCTGTTGTGCCTGTTGTAAAGTGGGAGTAATGATATACCTTACCTCTTAAAGTTATTGTGAGGATGTAGTAAAAGATACAAAGGGTATGTTATAAGAGCTCAATTAATGGGAACTATGATTATCTACAATGGTGGCTAATTGTAGTTCTGCAATGCAATATGCATAATGTAAATATGTATGCACATGTCACCTAAGGTTTATCTAATCCAAAATGCTGTTGAATGGACTTGCTATTATTAATTGCTACATTTTGGCTAAATAAAGAAGTCTAAGGGATATTTGAAATAACTAAGAAATAATAAGAAAGACTTGCCATTGTGTATAATTGCAATGTACAGTCTTTTCATTCAACTGATGATAACCACATAGCAGGCGTCTGAGATGGGTGTTAGTGTCTACTGTTTGCACTTGAGCAGTTGGAGGCCAAGAAGGTTACTGAGTTGTCCAAAACACCCCAATTCCATAGCAGCAGACCCAGAGCTAGAACTCAGGGCCCAGTAGGCGGTGCTAGTCCAGGCTTACTGTCAAGCCAGCTGGAAAAACGAGCATGATTTACAGTTATTTTCAAATCACATGAAGCATTTTAAAACTGGATTAGGGAAGCAAAAAACCATAATGAGACCATGTTAGAAAACAGGCTCGATGATCAAATGGACTTCCGCAAATGTGCAGAAGAAAACGCACTCACTCATGAATAAAGATGGGCCACGATGCTTCCTAGAAGTGGCGCGCTACAGCTCTTCCACGTGTTGAGGTCTTACCTAAAATTTACAAAGCAGGGGAAAATGAGCTAAAATCTTGACCAGGAAGGAGAGAGAAAGAAGAAACAGCTGTGGGCCTCAAGAAAGGTCTGGTATACATAGAAAATAGTGAGCTATTTGTTTAAGGCTTTGCATGATGGGATAGGCATGTTATAATATTAGTATAACTAATTCAAGATTCTGGTTGTCCTTACTGAAAAAGAAATTGCAGGCCGGGCTCAGTGGCTCAGCCTGTAATTCCAGCACTTTGGGAAGACGAGGTGAGTGGATTGCCTGAGCCTGCGGGTTAGAGACCAGCCTGGGCAACTTGGTGAGACCTCGTCTCTATAATAAAATAAAAAGTAACTGGGTGTGATAGCGTGTGTCTGTAGTTCCAGCTACTCGGAAGGCTGGATCAGCGGAGCCCAGCAGGTCGATACTGCAGTGGCGTGAGCATGTGTGCCACTGCACTCCAGCCTGGGTAAAGGAGTGAGACTCCAACTAAAAAAATAAATAAATAAAATAAATAAATAAATAGATAGATAGATAAATTGTGGCATTGGAGAAATTGTGGAAGTTAGGTAAAAGATGATAAACTTGAACTATTTCATTTATCTCCTCTCTTCAGTTTGCTATAACTTTAAAAACTGTTTTGTTTATTCTTAAAATTTGTTTTTTTTTTACAGAAGACTTTGCAGGAATCCTGATTCTCAAAATATCATAAGAATACTGAAAGTAAATTATGTTGTGCATTTTGACAAGATCTATTCGTATGCTAAGGAACGAATGATTTCACTAAGAATTCCTGCTAAGTAATTAAAGGAAGACAAAATTATCAATATTTCCTGCTTCTTAGCATGTGCTGCTTTTACAGATGATACATTGGATTTCCAGTTAAAAACATGTTTAATTCTACTCATTCATTCTAGCAAACCTACTACATTTTTCCTTGCCTGCTTACTCTCAGTATCAATTATTCAGAATTAGTAAGATTTGTGTCTATAAAAATAAAAGTTGTTTAGAAAAGGATAAACCTGGTGCCACTCGGATTGGAGTTGAACTCTCTACGATGTCAACTGATTACCTGTCATTTACCCCTCTGTGCCACAGTTCCCTTGCCTGGCAAATTAGTGTCCTAAGAATACAAGGATTGTGGGGATTAGAGAAAAATCTAACATATACACAGCAGCGAGTGGCCCCTTAGAAACATATGTTATTGTTGTTGTTGTTATACAGACTTTAATTTGAAAGAGTGAAAATACATCTCACAAATAACTGTAATGCAGAAAGCAGGAGTTAACATTTGACACATGTGACCTTTGTGGAGACAGCATATTGCAGACAAATAAAGCGTTGCCTTTTCCTTCCTTTTCTTCCTGTCTAAAGGCTTCTGGAGCAGACGCCCTGGAGTTAAATCTGTCATGTCCACACGGCATGGGGGAGCGAGGAATGGGCTTGGCCTGCGGGCAGGTAAGGACCCAGGGACTGCTGCAAGGTGTAGCTGGTGACTTGATGGTCCTGTGAAGAGTGACTGGCCTCAGGCAGGCATGTGGGTCAGACGCCTGGCTGGAGACGTCCAGATCTGCATGGTTTAAATATTTAGTGTTTAAAAAGTGGAAAATGAGGGAAGCTGGAATTACAGCCACTGTTTAGTTTTATGGAGGAAAATATCACATTATGTGCTTGACAGGAAGTAATCTCATAACAAATAGTTTTTAAAAGCGCTGGAGCAGAATGAGCTGATTTGGAATGCAGAGTCCTCTATTCATTCCCAATGCTGACCCAGCTTCCCTGGAGCCATATACTGTATAAAACGCATTGTTCGTAGCGATTTTGTAGTAAATGGGGCACAACACCAATTGCATTTTACATTTTTTAGCATATGATCATTATTTCCCAACTGTGTTTGGGAAGTTGCAAAAAAAGACTTTGATGCTATTTTTATTTTGGGATACAACAAGTAAAAACTTCATGCAAAAATACTTTCAAAAGCCTAATGAATAAAATGTGAAATAATATGTTAATATATAGAAAATGCTGCATCTTTATGTAACTAGATACCATGAACATGTTAAGGAGCAACGTAAAAGCTTAATGCTAAAAAGGTAAGTGTTTTGCATCTAATTTAGTTATTAAGCCCAGAGGGAAATGCTGTGAATTAAATAATTTTGAAATGTAATTTCTGACAGATTCTCTAGCCCTGAACTTTTATCTCCAAACCTGGTCCAGGGCCTTGTGCATAGTAGGTACCAAATTTTCTTTCTTTTTGTTTTTTCTCCACAAGTCATCAAATTGACTTGAATTAAACTCAGAGGCCTTCAACTCAGGAGGGTAGCAGTTTCTGCTTATTCAAATGAACACAGGTTGCTATTTTCACATTAGCATTCAGGAAGGACTTAGAAGTACTTTGTAAATATTTAATTAACATTCAGAATAGATTTGTGACTTAGGAGGAACTCTTCTTATGCAACAGCAGGAGGGGAGGGGCTGGTCAAATATTCTTCAAGGAGAACCACTCTCCCCAGGTTACTCAGATGTGTAAGTAAGGTAACAGAACCAAAACTCAGGATCACCGGGTGTGTGTGTGTGTGTGTGTGTGTGTGTGTGTGTGTGTGTTATCATTATATCAAAAATTATGACTTCCATGAGTCACACAGTTAGACAAGTCGACTTGTCAAGATGTGTAATATGACGACAATGAGAGCAAATCCTCGAAGGACACCCAGACGGGGACAGGGTTGGCACACCCTTCAGCCAAGTCCAGAATGTCCCTTCACCCATTTCACAGTTTCCAGACCTCAGAATTAATGCATGTGTTAGTTGCATAAATAAAAACAGCTATGGACTATTTTGTTAAGGAAAAAAATGCGTTTCAATTTTTATGCCTTGCCACGAATATGACAGTTATTTAGGAAGTGTTGCTTTAGTCCTGCCTGAATTTATCTTGGGGAGTAGGATCTTGCTTTGTGAGCTCGTCTGAATTTCCCCCGCTATTAAGCATCTTAGGTGTACTTTTTCCGGAGAGTTCTTTAGCCACGTTAAGTTTTGCACAACCTTTTACTTGGTACGAACGCCAAATGTTAGCATTTTACAGTCAGGGATATCATTAAGAGTTCAAAAAGCTCTTGGAAAACACATGTTCCAGAAACTGATATCTTGACTGAGGAAGTTTAGGAACATTTCCATTTCACTTACTAGCTGTAATCTCTGAAACTGAAACCAATTTTTCCTGCCAGCCAAGTTTAGAAATTTTCTTTTGAATAATATTCTCTTGTAAATTACATCGTTGAAAAATAAAGTTAATGTAATAATTTTGCTCCACCATATTTTAAATGATTCATCTGCCCCAGGACACACACATATTCCCTTTAAATAAAGGGAAGAAAGAATATTAATGCATTTTTAAAGTGTGGTCTTCTGTCTCTAAACTTTGGCGTGGGCACAGACATGGCTGAAATCCTTCTCCTTCTCTTCCACTGCCTTCCCGTCTCTGCCTTGGGATCCCATTGCTTCTTCCTCTCTCCCTAAGTTTCACAGTCAAGGACACTGGCCAGAGGCGGGATGGGGAATCATGGTCAGTGTCAGAGTCTCTCAGCCGCTCAGGTCCTCCTCCCTGTCACAGCGTGGTCTGGTGTTCCACTGCTGAAACCCGTGGCATGCCAAGCTTAGAACAGCATGCATCACTGGGTGTGGCAAATGTTTGTTTCCATGGCTGGAACATTCGTCTTCCAGAGGTAATGCTTGGATAGTTCATGTGCCTCTCTACACATCTGGGATTTTTTTCTTCATTATCTCACATATTTTTTCCCAAACATATTGTAAGTGAAGAATATTGCCTTTGTACCTAAATAATTTTGCCTGTGTGTGAATATTGTTAGGTGATAGATAGACAGACAGGCAGATATATAGATATAGAAAATAAGTGATTGAAAGTTGTTAAATGTATGAGCAGGCAGGCCATAACCTCTACTGTACAGCATATAGGCATGATAGTTACTTATGAAATTGATAAAAATGAAGAGACTCCCTAGCTGACCTTGGGAAATTGCAGTATTTCCTGCAAAATGCAGCTTCAGATTCAATCTTGACACAGCCCAGCACACTTCTGTGTTCAGAGGCAGTCTTGCTCTGTATTCCATCCACCATGGTGTCACCTTGATCAAGCCACTCACCGTCCTGAAGCACAAGTTTCAGTCCCTAAAATAGAATTTGAACTAGATGATCTCCAAACCCCCTTCCGGCTTTAATATTCTGGAAATGTCGACATTACAGGTAGCAGGCCACTATTATTATTATTATTATTATTATTGAGTTGGAGTCCCACTCTGTCGCTCAGGCTGTAGTACAGTGGCTCCAGAGATCTGGAGCTCAGGCTGTAGTGCAGTGGCTCCAGAGATCTGCTGGACTCCAGAGATCCTTCTGCCTCAGTCTTCCAAGTAGCCAGAACTACAGGTGTGTGCTATCACACCCAGCTAATTTTTTGTTTATTGTAGAGACAAGGTCTCGCCAAGTTTCCTGGGCAGGTCTTGAACCCACGGGCTCAGGCAATCCACTCTCCTTGGCCTCCCAAAGTGCTGGGAATACAGGCTGAGCCACCAAGCCCAGACTACTATGATTTTTAAACTACCCTTAAGGGGCATTGATAAAACAAAGATAACTAAAGAAATAAACAAATGCACATGAAGTTGCTCTTTTTAAACACTTTAACATTTCCTTAGCCGCACAAAGGCAGTGCTTTACTCAGGCAATTATGTCTGTTTACATCCAGTGACCTATTCACTTTCTGGTGTATTTTACTTTATTTAACAAGCATGAGCCCGGCTCTGTGGCTCAGCCTGTAATCCAGCACTTTGGGAGGCTGAGGTGAGTGTACTGCCTGAGCCCGTGGGTTCAAGACCCACCTGGGCAACTTGGTGAGACCTCATCTCCACAATAAATCAAAAATTAGCTGGGCGTGGTTGCACGTGCCTGTAGTTCCAGCTACTTGGAAGACTGAGACGGAAGGATCGCCAGAGCCCAGTAGGTCGAGGCTGCGGTGGTCAGGAGTGTGCCACTGCACTCCAGTCTGGGCGACAGAGTGAGACTCCAACTCAAAACAAAACAAAACAAAACAGAACAAAAAACAAGCATGCATCTGAGTAGCTGTTTTTCAGAATGACTGTGATTGGTAGGATAGACAACATGCACTTGCAGTGGCTCCAGGCAGCTGAGCTGGAGTCTTGTCTCCTTTATCCTGGAGCCTGTGTATGTGTATTGGTGTCACCAGGAATCCTGATGCTCAGGCAGAGGCGAAAATATCCACTTTTGGTTGTGTTGGTTCTAAAGAGTCAAAGTTACATTATAACATGAATCAAAAAAATGTGCTCTTCTGCCTGCCCCTCACAACAACCCTCTGAGGCAGGTTGAGTTTCTTTTTACCCCAGTTTTTGTGGACAAAGGCCCCTTTGGTTGCAGGTGATGGATCTGGCCTGTAGCTGCCAGGGCCTTTAATTTGGTTTGCATGCGAGCCTGAATAGAGGGTGTCAAGGACAGTTCCTCCTTAGTAGGTAATCCAGTGTCAGCATTAAGCATCGCTATTATTAACAGAAAGCCAAGTGCAGGACTAAGTCGACTCTGAAGCTTTCGTAGTTCTAAATTTCATTCCCCTCTTATACGAAAACACAAGCAAACCAGAACCTCCCTCTTTGGTTCTGTCTCCTGGGACTAAGGGAGCTCGCTGATGTCTTAGCATTCAGGTTTGAAGTTGTCTACATGCAATTCATGTAAACCCATTTTCTGTAATAGCACATTACTTCATACATGTAATTGAACTATAATAAATTTCATAAAATGCATCTGAAATGGCACCTCTCTGAGACCTTCCCCTCTTCCTAAATGCTGGTGTTCTTAGCACACTGAGCGAATAGCTCTCTTTTGTCCTACTAAAATAATACTAGGCTGGGCGTGGTGGCTCATGTCTGTAATTCTGGCACTTTGGAAGGCCGAGGCAGGAAGATTGCTTGGGCCCAGGAGTCTGAGACCAGCCTGGGCAAAATAGTGAGATCTTATCACTACAAAAACAAAAACAAAAACAAAAACAAAACAAGCTGGATGGTATGCACCCGTAGTCCCAGCTACTCAGAAGGCTGAGGCAGGAGAATCACCTAAGCCCTGGGGGGGTCAAGGCTGTGATGAGCCATGATCATACTGCTGCCCTCCAGCCTACGTGACAGAGTGAGACCCTGACACACACAAAGCACTATATTAAATTTTGTTTTACTGCTGACTGCAGAACTTTCTTACCCAAGTTTAGACCAGTGCTTAAAAGGCTTTGAATAACTCTTTGTTTTGTATTTAAAGCCATTATCAAAAACAGGTGTATTTGATATTTTAAAAATCCTATTTCTTATTTCTCTTAAAAAATATTGAAAAGATATGGGCATCCTTAGCCAGCATTGCCATGTTGTAATAATGTGTTAGAGCTTAATTAG